CTAGCTGTGGCAGCTAGCCCTGGTGGCCCCCCAAACCCCAAACCCTAAACCCTAAACCCTAAACCCTAAAATTTAAAACCCAAGTCGGTGGCCCCTGACCAAACGACGCTGCAGCTGCCTGCCCATCGCGCTGCAGCAAGTGCTCCTTCCTGCAGCAGCAGCAGCAGCTGCTCTTAATAGCTTCAGGACAGCCAGAAAAGCCTCAGCAGCAGCAGCAGCAGCAGCAGCAGCTGCTTCTGCTGTTGCTGCCGCTGCTGCTGAACAGTTTGCAGCATAGCAGCCTGTGCTGCAGCAGTCGCTATGATGCGGCAGCAGCAGCAGCAAACGAAAGTGGGCCTCAGGCATGCCAGCCTCTGCGGCAGCGGCAGCAACTGCAGCTGCTGCTGCTGCTGCTGCTGCTGCTACAGGAACAGTTACATTAGGCAGCTCGGTGCTGCTCAAGAGACTTTTGAAGAGCAGCAATTCGCCTTCTTGCTGCTGCTGCAAAGATCCTGCCGCTCTTCTGCGCGCAAAGCAGAGGCAGCAGCAGCAGCAAAATCAAAGTATTGCAGGATGCAGCAGCGAAATCGGCAGCAGCAGCAGCAGAAGCACCAGCAGCAGCAGTAGCAGAAACTGCTGCAGCTGCTGGATCACATTCCCGCGTGCTGCCGCTCATCCAGGCAGCTCCACAGCCCTGCTGCTGCAGCTGTTGCTGCAGTCGCAGCTGCTGCTGCAGCAGCTGCTGCTGACCTGCTGCAGCTGCTGCTCGTACATCTTGTCAAGACGTTTTGCTGCTTCCAGGCCCAGAGCCAAAAGAGTGGCAGCAGATTTCAGGGCCTCTTGTGCTTCCAAGTCTTCAGGGCGTCTGCGCTGCTGCCGCTGCCGCTGCTGCTGCTGCTGCTGCTTCGAGCCGCTCTGCTGCTGCTTCTGCTGCTGCTGCAGCAGCACCAGGTCCTGCGCCCCCTGCAGCAAAGCAAGCAGCAGCAGCAGCAAGACAAGTCAAGTCTAAAGGCAAAAAAATATAAAAAGAAAGAATGAGACAAATCTATAATGCCAAAAAGGCAGCAGCAGCAAATAGAAAATAAAATCAACACAAAACAGCAAAGAAGCAGCAGCAAAAAAGAGACACGAAGGTGAAGCAGCAGGGGCAGCACGGAAGCCGCAGCAGCAGCAAGAAGAAGCAGCAGCAGCAGCAAGAACAAACAGCAGCGGGAAGGAAAGGCAGCAGCAGCGCAGTAGAAGACACACGAGCAGCAAAAGGGAAGCTGCATCACCTGCAGCAAATCCCAAAGAGCAGCAGCAGCGACAGCAGCAGGAAGCAGAGGCAGCAGCAGCGCAGCAAGAAACACAGCAGCAGCAAAAGGGGAGCTGCAGCACCAGCAGCAAATCCCAAAGAGCCCGAGGATTAGCAGCATCCAGCAGCAGCACTCGCGCGAAGTAGCAGCAGCCAAGGAGTGGCTGCTGCAGCGAGCACTGCAGCTGTACGTACACCCCACACCCCACACTTCAAACCCCAAACCCTAAACCCTAAACCCCATTCTTAAAACTAAACCCTAAACCCTAACAAATGGCCTCTAGACGCTGCAGCAGCAGCTGCGGGCGAAGAAACGAGTGCAGCACCAAAGAGAGCAGCAGCAAAGACAGCAGCAGCAAAGAATAAAGCAGCAGAAAGTGCAGCACTAGAGAGAGCAGCAGCAAATAGCACAGCAGCAAAAAACTCAGCAGCAGGAACTGTGCAGCTGCAAGCACAGCAGCAGCAAAAGGTGCTGCAACGGCAAAATCAGCAGCAGCAGCAGCACCAAAGAGAACAGCAGCAAGGCGCGCCGCAGCAGGACCGCAGCAGAAAGAACAGCAGCAGCAACAGGCTCGGCGGCAGGAACCGCTGCAGCAACGGAGCAGCGGCAAGCCGCAGCAGCAGCAGCAGCAGCAGCAGCAGCACCTCTCCGTAAGAAAGGAGATAGTAAAGATTGTTTGGATCCCTCATCAGCAGCTCTTCCCAAACAAAAGCTGCTTGCTGCAGCAGCATGAGGTGTATGTACACCTCAGCTAACTCGTGCCACGCCTCCTTATCCCCCGCGTACTCTCGCAGGTGCCTGCGCACACAATCTGCTGCTGCTGCTGCTGCTGCTGCTGCTGCTGCCGGAAATGAGGCTAGTGCTGCTGCTGTTGCTGCTCCTGGAACTGACGCTAGTGCTGCAGCTGCTGCTGCTGGAACTGAGGCTAGTGCCGCTGCTGTTGCTGCTGTTGCTGACACTCAGGCTAGTCCTGCTGCTGCTGTTGCTGCTGCTGCTGCCCCAAGGCAGTCAACTGGACCCACGAAATGAGGAAAGAAATGCAGCTCTTGTAGTTCCCCTGCAGCAGCAGCAGCAGCAGGAGCGCAGCACTACCACCGCACTCAGGCGCAGCAACCTTCCCAGCAGCAGCAGCAGCAGCAGCACTCAAACTGTGCCAGGCCCCGCAACCGCATCACCCGCAGCAGCAGCAGCAGCAGCAGCAGCAGCAGCAAACCTGGATTCTGTAGGTGGCCACAACTCTCCTCCTGGCGCCCACATCTCCGTGGTGCTGCTGCAGGTAATCTGCCAAGAGGCGAATCGCCTGCTGATGCTTTCCTGCTGCTTCCTGCTGCAGCATCAGCAGCCCCCGCAGCCGTTTGCTGCTGCTGCCCCAGCGGGCAACCAGCGCGTTGTAGCACCGCTGCAGCAGCAACACAGCAGCAGCAGCAGCAGCAGCAGCAGCAAGTGCAGGCGAAGGTGCTGCTCCTTGGCCGCCGCTGCTGCATCTGGCACTACTCTTGCTGCAGCAGCAGCAGCAGCTGCTGCTGCTGCAGCAGCAGCAGTTGCTGCAGCAGGACTGCGGCGTCAGGTACCTCATACACAGCTGGCTCGTTAAGGGTCAAGGCCGCCAGGTAGACAGTCTCGTAAACAGCATATACTGCAGCAAACGCAGCAGCAGCAGCAGCAGCAGCAGCAACTTCAGCCAGGGAGGCAGCACCGCGGCGGCGGGAAGCCCCGTAGACAGCAGCACCGACAGCAGCAGCGTCACAGGCAGCAGCAGGCGTCGCAGCAGCAGCAGCAGCAGCAAGTGTCTCACCTTCGTCTTTGAGAGCAGCAGCAAATCTGTCCAGCAGCTCCTTCCCGTAAGAAAGACACAGCGCGGGGGCCCCCCGTGTCTGCGCCTGCAGCAAACCCGCCTTGAGGCCCTGCAGCCCCAGGCGCTGCAGCAGCAGCTTTGGGGGCCCCCGGGGGGCCCCTCCCTCGGCCATTGCCTGCTGCAGCTGTTGCGGGTCCCGAGGCGAGCCACGCAGCTGCTGCTGCCGCTGCTGCTGCTGCTGCTGTTGCTGCTGGTAGCGGTGGTGCTGGTATGCGTTTGCTGCGGCGAAGGGCACGCGCGACAGAAGGCGGGCAGAGATTCGCTGAGCTAAGCAGCAGCAGCAGCAGCAACAGCAGCAGCAGCAGCAGCAGCAGCAGCAGTGATCGGGATAAGGGGGGCGTTTCGTACCTGGGCTGCAGGCGCAGCAGATCTGCACTCGATTTAGCTGAGGCAGCAGCAGCAACAAAAAGTAAATTGTTTTTATTATTTAGAGTTTTGGGTGACAACTCGAACTTTAATGCCTTTAAAGACATAACAGCAGCAACAGCCGCCTGGGGCTGCTGCTGCTGCTGCTCCTGCTGCTCCTGCTCTTGCCCAGCCAGTTTTTTGCCACACCAGCTGCAGCAGCAGCAGCTGCAGCAGCAGCACCAGCAAATTCATTGAATAAATAATGGCTTGCTTTGGGCCATTTCAAAGACAAGGGGCTTGTTTGGGGTGTATCGACACCTCGGTGTGACTGCTCAGCCGTGAAGCCTCGGAGGGCCTCACCAGAAGACACTTGCAGCAGCAGCGGCAGCAGCACCTGCAGCAGCAGCAGCAACACCGACACGCCGACTGATGCCACGGTGTACGCTGCAGCGCAGTTGAAGAATCCCAGGCAGCAGCAGCAATAGCAGCAGGAGCAGCAACAGGCGCAGCAGAAGGCCATCAGCGAGCACACTACTGCAGCAGCAGCAGCAGAAACAACGGCAAACTAAACCAATTCGAAATACACACCGTTTTGGAACTGCGCACACGACTCGCTCCAGCAGCAGAGCAGCAGCAGCAGCTGAGCCGCAGCAGCAGCAGTAACAGAGGCAGCAGCAGCAACAGCAGATCCAAGGAAAGCAGCAGCAGCTATAGTTTCAGAGTAATGGAGCCCTCACAGGGTGGGGCTGTACGCCGGCGCGGCAGCCAAGAGCAGCAGCAGCAGCAGCAACAACAACAGCAGCAGCAGCAGCAGGAACAGCAGCAGCAGCAGCAGGAGTCGAAGCGTCGCACGCTGAAGGAGATTATCTTTCACGAGGCTAACAGGGAAGTGCTGCAGCAGTTCGTGCTGTGGTCGCTGCTGCTGCTGCTGCTGCCGCTGGGCACCCTTTGGGGTTTGTACCGCTTGCTGCAGCAGCAGCGCCCAGCAGCAGCAGCAGCAGACAACATGTTCATAGCTGGTGCTGCTTCCTGCGGCGTGCTGCTGCTTCTGACAGCTGCTTATGCTGCACTTGCCGTGAAGCAGGAGTACGCTGCTGCTCGGGGTGCTGCTGCTGCAGCAGCAGCGGACAAA